AGCGTAATTTCTTTCCACTTAAGTATATTTATTACTTTTATGTTTGTGTGCTGCCTAGGAAAATACTTTATTTTTGCATAAAAATATTTTCCAACCACTGCAGTCTAATTGGAAACTCCTTTCTACAAGAAGAACATTAGGGGAAAGAAACCCCCACCAAGCTCAGTGTTGGGATAGACTAAAGAAAGGAGTAAAATATATGAATTCTATAAGGGGCTTTGCCTTCTAGAAAAAGCAAATGAAAGAAGAAAAATGCTATATATAACGAGAATCTTTTAAAGGAAAATAATCATTTCCAATATCAAGAGAATGCTGTTACAATGCTGGGGGAGGGTAAAAATAGAAAAAGAGGTATGTCACAGCACAAAGGAAAACAAATCAGGAATGCAAATATTCAGTCATATGATTAATTAGATTTTGGTACAGTTGTGGCTAATTTTCAATAGAGTCCTGGAATATAGATACTTGAACTGTTAGTATGCAAGTGTATGTCTTTTTGTGACTCTTCTCACACTAAAGTCATTGGGTGCATATACTTTTGGGAGTCAAAACAGTAATCAGGTTTCTGGCTAGTAGCTGATAGACGTGTATTAATACTAGATGAAGCTGTTCAGAAAGCAATACTTTCTTAGTATTTATGAATGCCAATTACCTTAGAGGACATTTTGAAATGCCTGAGCTTGTTGTTGACTTCCAGGAGTCACCCACTGAACTGCTGCTTACATGTGGCATAGCCAGGTGTGAAATCCCACACTCACATGTGTCAGGCAGGAGAGTTTAAAAGGTGAGTCTTAGAGCACCAGTGGTACCTAGGGAGAGAAGAAAGTGGAGGAAAGTGTAGCTAGCCCTAGCAGGTGATGCATTGACGTGTTATCCTGCATTTAATACTGCTCTGTAACTTCTTTAATTTCAGTTTTGTATCCTGACTGAACCCTTATGGAGATGTATTTCCACAGCATGTTATTGCAAAGTGCGAAACATGTTCAAAATCCACTGAGTTTAATAGAGTTAGAAGATGTTCAGCACCTCCAGTAACTGGCTTTTAAATTTGCCTTCTGCTATGTGATTAATCTATCTAATCATACTTAGTATCTATCTGTAGATGGTGGCAGTATGAATGTCCTCTTGGTTTTTATGTGGCCATGAGGAGGAGGGAAAAGAAAAGTAGAGAGATACTTCCAGAAATTACAGTCATTTGTAGGTACTGAAATAATGGCACACACATTTTATTTCTGTTCTGTCTGGGTAACTCAGTAAATTGTGTATTGATTATGCTAATACAGCTAGTGTCTCTATTACTTGTCTGCAGAAATTATTCAAACATGTAGATTGAAGATGCACTTGGCAAAGTTACTATCCTAAGAAAAAGGCTTTTGTGCAAAGATGGCTTTAGATTGAATTACTAATCATATGCTAATGGGAATTTATAGATGAAATATTGAATTATAGGAAATGTAAAGTGCAAGTTAAAAATATATATTCTAAATTTCCTATGCTGACAGTCTTAGTTGCTATATTAGGTTTATTTTCACATCTCTCAAGGAATATGTTTTAGGAAGAGATAAATCAATACCAATCTATTTTTATAGTTTATTTTGGGATATGTGGCTTCTGCTTTGTTTAATAAGCTGAAAAGAGGCTCAGGCATTTGGGGCAGTTCTTTTTTTTTTTTTTTAAATTTATTAACCCACCTAGACTAGAATAAAATAGACTTTTTTTTTTCAATTATCTTTTGCTTTTATTTTATTATGGTTTGTAATAGCTCAGAAGCCATAAATCTTAGACAGTTCTCCAAAAGGCTTCCCTTTCAGTGAAAATGTCCTTTTTCACGTTTCTAGTTTTATCCATTTCTTTTCCATACAAGGTTTTTCCCAGACATCAACCAGAAATTACTTGTACTCTTCCTTAGGGTGCTAAATCTACAGATTAACCCTTCAGTGAAGGGGTATCCTGGTTAGTCAGTAGAATATGACTGAGATTTTGCAAACTAGAACAGCTGTGTATGTTTTGTACTAATGTTATAAAATAATCTCACTCCTTTATAGGCTATGCGACCCTGAAAAAGGGGTGAAATCCTCATTGATCAGCAGGTGTTGCTGTAGAGCAGTCAGGAGATTAGTTCCATTTTTAGGACCTCTATATTGAAATTCCTGCAGTTTTTCCTCATTGGCTGTCCTTAATGGTACTACTTGATTTGGTTTTGTGTTTGGTTTTTATTTTCTTTAAAAAGGAACAGCTGGTCTTAATGTTGACGTTCAGTGGCCTAAGCATGAGAGGTGCTCTAAACTGAAACTGGGGTTTGACTTGGACACTAGCAGTACCAAAGCTGAGATGTCCTAACCTTTCACATAGATACAGCTTCAGTTTAGGGATATGCTTTTTGCAGTGAAGTTTTAATTAAAACTGATCTCTCCAAACCACGAGCTTTTGTAATGGGAGATAGAACTGACATCCTGGAATCCCATTTTCCCTTACTGAGATTTTTTTATCTTTTTAAATTTCTCTGAAGAAGTGTGTTGCCACGGTTGTTGTGGTGATCTGATCTTTTTTTTTGAAAATTTATTATTTGAGTTTCCTGTTTGTTTTGTTTTTCTAAAGTTGCACTGAGAAAATATGTAGTAGAGACTTGATGGTTTGTTGTTTTAAGGAACAGATAAGTCAGTTGAGAAATATTTCTACAGCTAACAAAACAGGTGACCTGTGATCATAAACACACAATTGTAGGGACAATGCTTTTGTGACAACATTATTTCACGTGTATCTAGAAGTGATTTATTCATAGTCTGGATTCATAAGCTGTTCTGGTTTCCTGAGGCTTCTCCTTTTACTAATACTCTATCGCTTTGTTATCTAGAATTTATCTTACCTTGTGCTAAGATGTGGTGTATGCTGTAGTGAAGATGACACTCTTATGCACAATTATAGTCCTAGAGTATCAGTAATTTTGATGTTTGAATTAATAATACTGCATACACGCTCCTGTTTTATCTGCATGTCATCCTTGTGGCTTTTTTTAGTTATATTTCATGCTAGTGCTACAGAAATGTTTTGGGTTAGCAACATTTAAAGCATCTCATTATATAGATTCTGTTTAAAGTTGCCTTCCTCTCCTGAAAGAAAACGGTATCATTAATGTTTAAGGGAAGTTAATGCTGGCTGCATGTCACGCTACCTTTCACAGTAAGGTGAGTTTAACAGTGGCCTGAAAGCTGAAATAATTACTGAAGTTTTCAGAGTCTGCTTGTGGAAAGGGATAAAGTGCCGCTCGGGAGCTTAGCTGATGCTGACAGTTGTATCTTACTTAATGTAACTAATACCTATGCTAGTTGGAGGAATGATCTAACCTCATACAAAGGAAAATGAGATGCTATTTTCTAGATTATTTGTGCTAATGGTAAGATTTCCCTAATTCTGTGGGATTTGTGGGGTAGTTTTCTTATTCCTTTTACCATATTTCCCCCTAAATGCAGTTTTAATTTTCCGGACAAAAGTGTCAGTCTAGTTGAATCTTATTACTAAGTTTTTGTGCCATAGACTTTTGTGACCTACTTGGTTCTGTTGTGACTGAGAATCCTTAAAGGACTTGAACAACGGTTTGGAAAGATGCTAACCACAAAGTTACTTGCTCTGATACTTGTTTCCTTCTTTTAGTACAATAAAGACATAGTGGTCAGCTTTTGTTGAAAGCAAACCTCAGCTCTCACAGAATTTTCAGATCCCTAAATAGCAAGGAAGTTTTAAAAGTTTGGTTTCACAAGGCGTACACTGTCATGTTTTTATGTTACAAAATTGCACACCTGAAAACAGTTTGTTAGGCAGTATCCATGTTTGTTTTTTCCATTTTAAGACCTAAAAATGTTTGGTGTACCTCTCAGTCAGGAGTGCAAAGCTGAGCACATTTTGGTGTGCAGCCACTTCTCACTAGCAGTGAGAGATGCTGGTACTGCAGCTGGTGGCAGTAGACATTCAGTACAGAACAGCAGAAAAGATGAACCCTTTGCATTTTCGTTTGCATATGCTTATAGGTAGAGAGTCACTTCAAACAAGCAGATCTTGTTTACTTTTACTGCTTTGTTTTGAAGTTTCCCCTCTGGGAATCAGTTCCTGAAAAGTTCATTTGGGCATCTCAATTCTATCTTGAGACTTAAAAAATGCTAGAATTTCTAAGTTGCCTTTCTGGACTGAGTTCAGACTGGTGACAGGTATCATGGTTGAAGATTTTGTTGGTAGATAATAAATAGGTCTACAACCTTTAATAAGGTTGATCAGTAGGTGTATTGATGACTAAGATGAGTTTCCTCTTGAGGGATGAACAGTGGACTCATTTTTCAGTTTTAGAGCTTGTTCTTGAGAACATTTTTTGGAAGTAGACCAACAGCTGGTGGTGGGCATAAACAGGGCCAGGTTGAGCTGCTGCAGAGGTTTCACTGGGAGCTTTGAGGGGGTCACAAAAGGCAGTATCTCCTTTTTTTTTAACTATATACTAGTGCTATTCATTATTTTTCCTGCCATGTTAATGCGTCTTACTGATCTGTGCTGCCCTAGCGAAGAACCTTTCTATTTAGCTTAGTTTGTATTTGACCACGTGTTCCCCAGAGCTCAGCTTTTCATGAGCTCTTCCCATTGCTTTCTTTGTCTGACCAGTTTCCTTTAGCTGTGAGGACTGCTGGGATGACTGCTTCAGCATAACAAAGAAAATCATACAGTATTATCACAGCTGAAGTACTGGTAGCTTCATGGCTGCAAAATACAAGTTCAGCTGAAATAGTCAGCTCATAAAATCACATTTTGTGAAATACTTGACTTACTCCAGGGCTGGGGAAACTTTATCAGATCTCTGTTGATGAGAAGAGTGTGCTTACTAGCCATAGCTCTGGGACAGAGATAGAGATTGTTTAGAGTCCTCCAGAGATTGTACTTGACTTTTTCTAATATATGCACTGTTTCAAGTTTCTGGTGTCCTAAGAGTGTCCTTATGAAAACTGGTGTTTTTTTTCTAGAAACTCAGATTCTAGAAACAACCAGTTGTATGAAGCCTTGGGGTTGGCGGAGGAGGAAAAGAGGTACCTGTGGAGTGTGTATATGTATCTCTTCTTTTGAATATATGTCTAGATTTATATGTGACTCTAAGTGTTGCACTCTCTTGTCCCAAGAACCAGGAAAAAAAACCCCAACAAATCTTTGGATTTTAACTCAGTTGCATGATTATTTTTGAGGTCTGAATTCTTGGGAGTGGAAATGCTGTAAGAGTGCAGTCTTTCCCCTTTCAGCTTTTTCTGCTGTGGAGGGAGAGTGAATTCTTTTCTCTCTGCTGTTCTCTAACTCAAAGAACTTGGTCTTTGGGAGAATAAAAAGGAAGTGATTCTGCCTTTTCACTCTTCCCTTACTTTTACTTTGGGAGAGTCAATCTTACTTAGGCATCATATCAGAGCACATGAGAACAGCGCGCTCTAATTTTTCAAAGTAGCAGCAGAATGGCTCTTGTTTGATTCACTCTCACCCAACAAGTTTTGAATAGTGAATCTGACAAGAATTGTATTGTTTTTAGTTCTACTGCTCTGGAAAGCTGTGAGCCAAGGGAAAGATGCTGGCATGGTGTATACAGTAAAACAGCATGGGGTTAGTTCTCCTTTGCAAGGCTGTCTGCACTGCTGAGATGTTTGCTACTGAATATAGAATTATTATTACTTTTTAAAGCTTATGTATGAATTAGCACACATACCTCTCCCGTCTGCCAGGAGAAGGCTCTCTCTTATCCGTATGGAGCGAGCAGAATCTTAAAGCCCAGAATTATTCTCTCATTTAGTTCCATAATCAAATACAGTAGAGTGCGTTGAAGACAACTATCCCAGAGGAAATTCAATTTGGTTTTTAAGCCATGAAACCAATTTGGTCACTCTGTTCTCAGATTTGTAGCTTCCATGCAGCAACATACTCTGTTTTGGTCTGGTCTACACTTTCGCACTTTGCAGTGCAGCTTTTCTTGCCCGTGTTGTACAAGCATTACTGGCTTTCAGAACTGAAGCTGGTGTAAAGATGCTTGAAACACTTCAGCTACCTACCTAACATCTTTTTTTTGTTTTGTTTTTGTTTTGTTTACCTTTTTCTGACAGTAGAAGAAAATGAAACAGAGGACCAGCAGGCAGGTGTGGGACACACAGCCGCACAGACTGGTAATGCTGAATTCCTTCATTAGTGCTTGCTTACTGTTTGACAACAGTGTGAGGGATTTTTGTGTCGGGGTGTTTTTGCAAAGCCTGCACTCTTCCGTCTCTGTTTCAGCTTAGAATGCATTCTTGGGGTTTGCAATGGAAAATAACACTCTTCTCCCCTCACCTTTCAATTCCTGAGAATTAGAAATTTTGCCTTTTCTAGGTCAGCCAACTGAAAGTGAGATACTTCTAAAGTGCTGCATGCTTTTATTTTTTCTTTATTTTTTTAAAAAGGGTGGTTTTTTTTTTTGGTTAAAAATAATCCTTCTCTACATCCCTCACATAAAACCCCACCCTATGCCATTTCAGATGAACTTGAATTTTCATTCCACTTAGTCTATTTTCAGATTTGTAAAATATGTGAGTAAGGGTAATTTCTTTTTAGGATTGTTTGTATAATTTCTTACAAGTCAGGGTTTTATTAAGGGCTCCTTAATTTTAAGTGAGTGAGTGGGTGGATAGACCTGTTGTTTGACTCAGGATCACAGCGATATGTATTGCTGATAATCAGGAAGAAATAATTATTAATTCCCAATAACAACAAGGGCCTTTTTATTCTTTAATACAGTTCTGAGAATGCAAGAAATATGTTACTTCTGTCATTGGTACTGATTCCACAGAATTTTATCTGAAGAGCAGGACTGACTCATCTGAGTAGTCTCATTCATTCAGTTGAGGTCACCTGTTGGAGTAAGGGCTGGCTCCTTAAGGATGTTCCTAGAAGGCTAGTCATCTCTGAATACTTGTAGGTAATTTATTTGAGAACAGTTGGAGTTATTCCTCTTATGAAGGTGAAGAATGCAGTTAATTTTTTTGGTCAGCTAGAAGACTTTCTATTTCTCTTGTGTGTGTGTCCTGTGGGTTTGTGTTTGGTGTCTTTTATAGATTCTAGTGGCTCTGTGCATAAACTATCTTGTTTGAAAAGAGGAAATAGAAGTGAGAGAGTTCTCTGCTTTTTTAATAGGAAATTTCTCAAACTCTTCTGAATGTACTTACATCTCCATTTAGCTATCTGCAAACTTGAAAAAAAACAAACTCGCACTACTGTAGACACATGAAGTTGAAAAAGAGGACTGCAAAACTGGAGATCAATATGACAAGGAATGGTTGCTTTTCTGCATTTTTTTCCTTAAAATAATTATCAATGGTTGTCTTACTAGTTATTTATTTCACATCATGCCCTGTGTTCTCTGTCCGTTTCTAGGCAAGATTTAACATTCTGTTTTTCTCTTATTGCAAGAATGCAATGCCGATATTAAAAAAAAACCAACCTTCTGATAGCACAAACAGTACAGAAGGCCCACACTGTGTACACACTGCCAGAAGTTTTTATGGTAATACTTTGTATCTAAGCTCTGGCTCTAACCATTAAATGTGCTTTTTATAGAGTACCAAGTTATAAATGTAGTGCAGCTACGGCATATTAATCTTACTGCAGAGATTTAATGAGGCAGTTGTTTTGCGATGGACACTATTGGGAGCGGAGAGCGACAGAGTTTTACTTTACCACTGAGCTGAAGAAATATTCCTTGCCTGGTAATAATTATAACCACATGATCTAAGTTTTCCTTTCTTTTGCCAGCACTTTTCCATGCAGAAGTGGCTTGGAAGGAGGTCTACTGCAAGGCAGTGAAATGGATTGGAAAGGAGGCTGTTTTCTTGGTAGTTTGATTGTTTTAGTTGTGATTAGATATGGATCCTTGTCGCATAGGCAGAAATATGTAAGATGAGTTTCAAGAATACAGATAGTCTTTGCCAGTCCACCGAGATGACTTTTAGATATTCATTACTTTTACTTGACTTTTATATGGGTTATAAAAAGCAAATGTGGTGAAACCTCATTTTTACATGGACAGAATAGAATTTCTTCTGGTTGGCCTTAAACCGCTCCCATACTTGAAATTAATTGAAGTCCATGGCTTTATTGCCTCCAACACTTTTAAGCCAATGCAATTTTTCATTTTTCCCAAAGTTGCAGTTTTATTAGACCAAGTTACAGCAATAACATCCCTTATGAGGAGGAGGAAGAAGGGAAAAGGAGAACCACCTGCCAGGGAACATAGTAATGAGAAAATCATGCTTCTTTTAATTTCCATTTATAAATAATGTTAACAAAATCAGTAACAGAAGACAACTGCTCTTTCTCTTCATTTTTTTTTTTAAAGTGTCTCAATAGGCTGAATTTATTTCTGTTCCAAAAATGTAACCCTCCTTTCCATACTAGATAATTTTCGATGATATCTGCAGATGGAGCCGATGTGTGTATTGTTGCTAATGTGTATTGAAAAATTTCAGTCAGTGCATGGCAGCCTCTGAAACAGGAAGCCTCTAGAAATGACAGTGGCATTTGCAGATGTTGGGAAAGGCAATCTTACCATGAAGGCAATCTTTGTTGAGGGAATTGTGGACGTGATTGTTGCAGATATCGGGGAGAAAGACGTGGGAGATGAATGACATTGGTCCCGACGTCTGTATGCGAGCATGAGCTTTGAACAGGAGGTTAAGGAGAAAGTGTAGATGAATGCATACTGCATGTATAAAATACGTTTTATTCTGGTCTTTAAAAAGAGCAGCTCAAATAAGGCAGCTTATCCTCAGTTTAAGTAACTGTTAAAGGTTAGACCAGCTTCTGATGGAAGATATTTGTTGTTATAACAGAAAAGCTATCTATTCACAATGCATCCAAATGATATTTTCTCTCTTTACATATCTTTTTATTTTGGTGGTGACATCTCTTCATGGAAACAGATCACAGTGGAAATGCATTCATTGAGAGGGGCTGAGACTGCCAGAACTCATTTCACAAAGCTGTCGGAGGCTAAACTCAAACCTAGGTCCCAGAGGGTCCCACTTAAGTGTTGACCTAAAAACAAATGTGCCAGTTGGCTAGAGCATGTATTCTAAAGTTGCAGCAGAAGGGAATAAGCTTGACTGACTTCTGTCCCTGTAGAGTTTATATCTGCAAATGCAGAAGGAGAAGCAAAACATTTATTAGCCTTAAAATGATTCTAATTTTAATAACTGGTCTCTAAGTAGGAAGCTTTAAATTGAGTGATTCTTTAGGCTTTCGTGCACTAAGGGGTGCATCTATGGATACGTGTGTGTGTATATTGCTGAATTCCTGTAAAGTGCAAGTGTTTCTGAATAATAAGTCTTGAGAATTCCCTCCCCTCCCTTTTCTTTCCTTCTGCATTGTACTTAAAGCAGAGTCAGACACTACCCTTATTTTAAAACAAACAGGTCTGTAAACTTTATGTGCAGCATTTAAATACTCATGTTAAAATTCAAACCCAGTGCCCGCATTTCCCTGAGTGCTGTCAGTTTTATGAGATGAAACTGGGAGCTTGAGCTGAACAGCTAATAGTATGCAATGTGCACGTGCTGCCTTCCAACAAGTGTTTAATGATGTTGGGGTCAGTTTGCAACAGTTAAGACAATTATTTCTTTTTCTCAACTGCTTATAAGCTGGTGATCTCCTAACTACTTTCATTAAGCTTGCAAAATATCTTGGAAAAGGAAGTGGCAATGGAAGTTAGTAGATTCAGAGTGTTCAACAATGGCTAAAATGCCGTAAAGTCCTTCTATTTAATTAGCATCCCTTTTTGGTGTGCAAATTTGCAGATTACTCCTCTATTTGGAAGTAGCTGCCTGCGTAAAAGTTTTTACTCTTGAAAGAACCTCATGAATGTAATTTGTCATAAAAGGATTGCAGGACTTTTGCACAGCAAATATATTTTTGCCCTCAGAATGTGTTTTTTATTTTTAAAAATTAATCTGGCTTCCCTGTGTAATATAATTCCCTTAAAAATAAATTCTGCCCTTTACCCCTGTCAAAGAAATTCCTCGGTTTTGATCACAAGCCACATAGCATGAGGAAGACTTCCTGACATGGGTCATTTCCAGTTTCTGCTTGCGGGTCTGTCTGTATTTGAACAGTTGAAGGGCGGGGTGCGGCAGTGTGGACCAAAGGACCTAGAAAGATGATGAGAGCCCTGACCTTCATTGTGGCCAGCAAGAACGCCTGTGCTTTGTGCACAGTGGCAAATACAAGGATGGCTGTGCCCACAACACTGTAGGGTGCTGAGAGAAGTTTTAAGAGTGGTTTAAAGTGGAATCCCCCTTCTCCTCACCCCTTTCCTATTCTAATATGAATTTAGTGTTAGCATGTTTTAGTTTCTCTTCTCTCAAGTAGCTGTGCATGACCCTAATCAATTGCAGCACTAAATGAAGTGGGTTCACAGATACCACCTCTGTGTTGCTGTGGACAAGAAGCCTACTCCTGCTTAGTCACCCGCTTGGCTAAACAGCGTAGCATCTTAAAATGTACTTGCACAATCTCCTGGTGTTATGTGAATTTGTCCTTGTTTTCTAAAAGAACTTGTTTCGGTCTCAGCTTTCTCAAATATCTAAAAGGAAAGATGAGGCGGCCAAAGCAGAAGAGGGAAAAGTGGTAAAACACTTGCATTCCTTTTGCTGGAATGTACACGACCATTTTTCTTCTGCATTTCACTTGTTGTACTGTGGTTCCCAAGGAAAAACAAAGTTAAAATGCCAGCTTGCTTTATTAGGGAAGACAGATTGTTTTACTTCTGTCCTTTGAAGGAAGCTTTTAGTAAAGTGGGCAAAAAGTCTGGAGTAGTTAAAGCTATTTTGCTCCTTCTCAGAGGAGGAAAAGTTCTAGACTTGCATTTATCACTCTTTGCTGGTCGTCTGCAGAACCGAGGTAGGGCAGTGAGCTGTGTGGCTTCTCTGCGCATAGGGAGTGGCGGTAAGACCACACATTTCTTCCAGTTTAGAAGCTTCTACTGGGCTCAGGACTTCTGCTTTGAGGCTACAGCTATCCCGATATCCCCAAAATGCTTGTTAACATGTCGAATAGACAAAGCTGTGCTTGTGCACTATTTATGTTTTACAATAGTTAGTTTCCAGTTTTCCATGATCTGACAGATACAGAAACTTTAGTGGATTTGTCTTAAGTCACACACAATTTCAAAGTATGTGTAGCATTTTGACACAATATACAGTCTTTCCAGGGGTTGGTTTGTGTCAAATAGTGTGGTGATGGAGCACTGGAGTGGGTTGTAAAATCAAGATTAATTTCATGTTTATGTAAATCAGATTTGTTAGTATCTTAATTCTGGTAATTTCCTGTGAAATGCTGTAGTTAACAGTGAAAAGAAGCTCCTGCACACTCATTGATTTGATTTTTCTTTTCATTGAAAACTAATTGCATAGGTGGTTTATCCTTTCTTATAATGATCAAAGCGCCTTCAATAGCTGTGATAAAATTGACAAACCTAACATTGAAGCATGGAAGATTTGTTTGAGTGAGAAATGGAACTGCATTTGTGGGTGTAGAAGGGAAATTCTCCTTTCATTGAGATTAGAAAAAAATTAAGGAAAAAACCTCCTTTGCTTATTTAGCAATAAAATCTAGTGTGTTGCAGGCTCATGCCAAATATGTTTCTTCTCATCATTACCACAAGAACCGATCTTGATTTTTTTTTTTCTTTTTAAAGGTTCTCTTCTTAGATGCCTGACGTCACGGTCTTGATTTTCTTTCAGACCCTAACTGTAAACTAGAAGACAAAGCAGAAGATGGAGAAGTGCTAGACTGTAAGAAAAGGCCGGATGAAGGGGAGGAGTTAGAAGAAGAAGCTGTGCACAGCTGTGACAGCTGCCTCCAGGTTTTTGAGTCACTGAGTGATATCACAGAACACAAGATTAATCAATGTCAACTGGCAGGTAAACAATACTTATCACTTTGTGGCTTTGTGCACTGTTCTAGTTCTGACTCCCATCCTCCACTTCTGATCTCCCTCCTCTTTTCTCAGTTATTTTGCTCCCGCACTTGAATGCTTAGGTGAGACCTATATAAACAGACTCTGGGACAGGATTATACTGTGAATGGGACACTATAAATTTCCTTCGTACCAAAGGATGTATGGGTAATTACTGCATTATCACTGTTCTTAAAGTGTTCATTAGCTGTCTGTGCCTGGCCGCTGCATGTACTTTCTAGATTCATACTGTACAGCTTTACGTACTTTGCTTATACACGTATTTTCCTAAGTCACTGGTGAACACAGAGAGTGTTTGTAAGTAGGGTTTAAGTGCAGCTGCATAATGTATGAATTTACACAACGACGTGTTGCAGATCTGGACTGGATGTTGCGTTAATCTAATCTGTTAACTACAAATGACTGTACAGTAATCAGTAACTGAAAGTTGAGAGGAATGAAGCAAATTGATAGAAGGAAAATAAAATCCTAGCTTCAATCAAGGGGCAGAACTGAGTGCTGATCAGATACTACTGAATTGAGCAGAGCTGGGTGAATGGACCTGTAGCCTGCTCAGGTTCCCTTCGAAATGATTGTGGTCAGCCTCCTCACCTAGGAAGTTACATGAAATCTGCTAAGTACTTTTGCCCTTTAGATTTAGTAGGTCTTTTGATGGTGCACACCGTAGGTCCAAATAGACTCAATATCAACAGAAGAGTGTTTTTATTTTTTATTAGATAGTACTTTAGTTTTAACCTCTACGACATAAAATGTATTTATTGTGCAATGCAGTTATGTTAAAAACCTTTCTTTATTATGACTTTGTAAACAAGGAAAGCCATCCTTCCCATTTGGGAATGCTTTTAGAAAGTGTGCGTGTGCTGATGTTTAGAGAGCTTTATGAGTTATTTTTGGTTCCAGTAGATCCATACATAAAAGTCAAGTAGCAGTACTGCTCTTGAGGACAAAGTGTGAAAAGAAGGTGAGCAGAAGAGGAGTAAGTGGGCAGGAGCAGAAGGAAAGTTGAAGAAGTAATACAAATTTGTCAAACGGTTTTAATCCCAACTTCAAATTATGGAAGTTGAAAATCTGCTGCAGCAAGAAACATTTACTTTTATTAATATATTGCTTTGCCTTTTCTTGCCTATAAAATGTTTTTCTAACTTCAGATACATTCAATTCTGCCATTCCCTAATCACTCCTGCAAACTTCTAGGATGTATTTGTCTATATTCCTCATGGTTCCTGGCAGTATGGATATTCTCTCTTGACTTTACTATACTTAATGTTTTTCTCTTCTTTTCTTCATAGCTGTCTTCTTTCTTTTGCTCTTTCTGTGTTGAAAAATTATTGGCTTTAACTTGTCTCTTCCTTCCCTCTCACAGAAAGCATTCCCCCTGCCCTTATCCTCTGACTACTGCCTCAGATCCCATTTATTCATACCTCTTTTTTCACCTTGATCTGATATGGCTGTTTCTCCTTTCTGGTTAAGTAGCTACTGTCCCATTTCCCCACTTCTACCAAGTGGTTTCTCTGCTTTAAAGCTGCAAGCAGAATGCTCTGAACAGTGCTTGTACAGTTGGGTTGAGAAGCTGAAGAAAAGCAGATGGAGAGAGCAGTAAGTAGGAAGAATCCCAGAGCACTGCTCCCAAACACAGCAGTTCTTGCTGAGCATTACGTTGCTAAAGGAGAGTGAAAACAAATATGCTGGATTAATCAATTTGGAGTGCATGTGTAAAAGCAGGAGTATATGTATGATATCAGAGGATGGGGAATGAAAATTAATCTTGAAGGGCATTGTTTAAGTTCCTAAAAATACCTTTGCCTCTCTTTCAAGGAAACTTGTGACAGCGAATGGGTAGAGATCAGACTATTGGAAAGCTAATGAAGTGAATAAAAACCTAAACCGCACTTCCTTCTGGACTACTAAATTGGCCAAAAGTCAACTGTCCTTGGTTTCTGGATATAAGTGACCAAAATACACCGGGAAGTTGAGAGAGGGGCCTGAATGGAATGTCCAGGATTGAGGATTTCTTCTTTCTCCAGCAAAAAATCCTGAACAAGTGGTTAGTGAGGTGAATTCAATGCTGGGTCCTAAGCTGCATATATAGCCTAACGCTAAGGATACAACATTTATGAAAACCTCATCCCTTTAGATTATTTTTAGTTGATCAGAGACAAACCATTGACAGACAAGCAGCTTACCTTTCTCTTCTGATGCACAGTATATATTTGACAAAAATAAAGTTTGCTTTTAGCATTTTAAGCAAGCTCCCTGGCCTCTTGCCTTTCCCTTGGTATTCCTGCAGTGCTCTTGGGTGTCACATTCGTGTTCAGTGTTTTCAAAATAGTATTACCATGTAGGAGTGGTTGCACCTCCTTTTCTCATCACAGTCTTCTGACACAACAGGATGTTACATAATTGTTCTGGTTGTCTCCTTTTGGAGAAGTCTCAGTGAAACTAGTAGATACCCGAAGGTATTTGTCTGTCACTAAGTCGTTAATGAAAGGCAAGCGGTTTACTAAAATTGAATTTGTTCTACCATGTCCTGTTGTTTGGGTCAACTGTGTTCTCTCTGGAGGAGAGCAGAGTGTGTCATCTATCCTGATACATGATCTTTCCAATCTGAGCCTCATCTCAGGTGCTGAAGAGTTACCTAAGTTGTCCATTATGTAAAAATGTCAGGGCTGTCAGTCTCTGAAGTTCACATTTGAGTTCTGAATCCCTCCAAACCCTAATTTTTCAGATAGCTGAGCCAGCTGCAGCTTGTGTGGATCTTACTGAGCTTCGGAGGTGCTCTGTGAGATACACAGTTTATGAATTCTCACAGTGCAGCTCCCTATGCATGTTGACCCATTTGTAGGGTCATCTTCCATACAGTTATACTGGGTAAAATCAACAATTATTTTGATGGAACAAACAGGATCACTAACCAATGGCCTAAGACAACCCTTTAGTAAAACTCTGAGGATGAAACATGAGAGTTCACAGTCAGTGTCTTGACTGCCCCCGATTTACCAACCTTGTAACATGTTTGAGATTGGGACTTGCCACTGTAGGTTCTCAAATTGATACTGAGGCTTCTAGTTTTTGCATTTGAGAGTGTTAGATGTGTTCTTCTGAAGCTTTGACACTTCAGTGGAAGGAGTAAAATTGCTTTATTGAATCTTCATTCTGCACTCTCAACCAAAGACAGGAATGGGGAGAAGGGAACCGGTTTATTAAACAGTGGTCCCAATCTCTCAAAGTGTCAGTCACCCCCACCTGTTCAGAGGATAGTGGAAGATGAGAGGTACTTACAACTCTGTGATATTTAGCTCTCAGGATCCTGAATTGCTGTTCTCTTGCAGATTTTTTCAAAGGAAAGAAAAAAGTTCTCCCCAACTGGTTCCTTCCTGTAATCTGTTGTTTGAATTGAACTCGTGTTCTTTTTCTAGAGGAGGGCATAGCTGCTCTTTTATCCTAATGTGTGCGCTATTGATCTTTTCGATTTGGGTCTGATCCAATATCCATTGAAGTCAATGAAAAGATTCCTATTGACTTCAATGGGGGATGGAACAGGTCCTTCATGAGCTATTTGGTAATATTTTTTGCTATCATCTGAAATTCTTGTACTGAAGCTTTTCGCTGAAAAGGTGATGATTTATTTATGTTAATTGCTGACAATTCCTGTAATGTTTGTGGAATACACATAACGGATGAATGGGGGGAAAAGTCCAGAAAAATTCTTTGCAATACTTGTAACCATGGGCAGATAAGATGCTGAACTGTATTAGTTTAGTCATTGCAAAAGATTGGCAATAAAAGTATGGATTTAATAGTGTTTCTCTCTGATGTTAATGCTTTTCTCCCTCTGTCCTTCCTGCAGCATTTCCATTTAATAACTCAAGAGCCAGTTGCACATTGTCATCCTCTAAGCTGTGTGTATAAATAAAGGATCTAATTAGCATGGCTATGAACCTGATGTCCTCCTAGTATATGTCAGTTTGGATCTCACTGTAGGAACATGCATCGAGGATCAAATGTGGTGCACTACTGATAAACCTTCAACTGCACCTTCTCTTCTTTTTCCACCAACAGGAGACCAAACATAACATTTTGCGCTTCTGCCATATATGCTGTTGGTGGGGCACAATTTGTTAGACACTCTCTAATCTTCTCCCACTTGACTTATAATAATTTCTGCATGCGCACATTGCTTTGTGCTGTTTATTTCACCTTTCAGTCCAAACCCTTGGGAAACTACACTATGCATTGTACTCTATTCATTCATTGTACTATTCATTGTACTCTAATAGAGTACTATTCATTGTACTCTATGAAGTCTTCCCTGTATATGTGAGAACTGCCTCTCCACTAGCTGACTGTGTTCGGAGGCATTCAGCTCAAGCTTGATTCTCTTGAACATCCTGTAGGTTGCTTTGGCATCAGAAGTATCAGTCATAACCAGAGTAATAGTAGAAAAAGGAGCGTCCTGTGGTGCTGCCTTGCTTGCAGTCAAATATGCAGTAAACACGCCAGTTTAGTTGGCTCAGTCGTTGAGTAGCTCAGCAGCAATGGATGTGCTGGTACACAAGACCACCATCCTGCACCTGAATGTCAGCAGACCTAGTGTGTGTTACATGGCTTCCCTACTAGCCCCATTGGCATCACAGGCTGTAAAACTTGCCTGAAAGCAGGCTACTGAATCATATGCAGTCCTAGCTTCAAGGCTAAGGATGTTCTGAGGTAGAAGACATGAGGTATTTCTCCATTGGAGATACTTATTTTACCTTCAGGTGATTAGGTAGACTTAGTTTTATGCTTTGGGCTCTAGTTTAGTGCTAGATCTTTGACACGTTGAGTAAGTATGTCAGGTAGAGCTGAGGGCTGTTCATGTTATAGTCATAAGTTTTTTCTGATGCTGAAAACATTACTGACTGTAGCTGTGTGTCCCCTGCCAGAGATTCCTGTCTGCTCAGAGAT